TATTTAAAATATTGTAAATAAGTCTCAAGGCAATGTACATCACTAACAGCACAATATCAAAAGGTAAAAGCAGGACATTTTTCAAACATTTAAAAAAATTAATCACCTGGGCGGCTTCCAAAAAAGGTATATACAATAAAACATAAGTCCAAACACATACAATAATAAAACGAATATTGAATAAAAGAAAAAAATAAAGAAAGAGTTAAATATTGACAGGAGGGAAGGCCTGAACGTATAACCATGTTTTTAGTTGACTCTTGAAAGAGCCCAGCGTAGGGGCCCCGCAAATCACCGGAGGAAGGTTATTTCAGAGGCGAGGAGCCACCACCGAGAAGGAACGATTTCGTGTCCTTTCCTTCCGAGCCTCCCTTGGTGTTAGGCTCCTCAGCCTCACCTCCTGGCTCGCACAGGTGATCCGAGTAGATCTCGGTGGAAGCAGGCGTTCGGTCAAGAATCGAGGTCCTAAACCGTTTAGGGCCTTATATGTGAGCATGTTAAAACCGTTTAGGGCCTTATATGTAAGCATTAAATGTTAAAGGGACGTGGTGGTACTGCGAGTTAAACCGCAGAAGCCTCTGTACTGCAAGGTCAGAAGACCAGCAATTATTAAGATTGAACTCACATGACGAAATGAGCTCCCCTCACTTGTCCCAGCTCCTGCCAACCTAGCAGTTTGAAAGCATGCAAATGTGAGTAGATAAATAGGTACCACCACAGTGGGAAGATAATGGTGTTCCGTTTCCAGTCGCGCTGGCCACGTGACCACGGAAACTGTATTCTGACAAACACTGGCTTTACAGCTTGGAAATGGGGATGAGCACTGCCCCCTAGAGTCGGACACGACTGGACTAAATGTTAAGGGGAACCTTTACGTTTACCTAGGACTTTGACTCCGTTCATGAAATTGTGTTTGCAAGGTTCATCAATAGATATCTAAGTAAACAAACAGCCCCATCAAACTCTGTATTACTCTTCCACCCCCTTCTTCTGAAAGGTTTCTCAGTATGATAAAAAGAGAAAGGTGGCCTAGAAATGAAACAAACAATAAATAAATACAGGTGATAAAGTATTGAAAGAGACTAACAAAACACATCTTTAATTACACAAAATAGTAGACCTGAAATAGTAAAAAAAACTTTGAACAGAAAATATCATGTAATTTATCATGCCCACGTCTTTGTTCCCCTTCCAAAAAAGTGGTTTCTTGGCTGCTACCCTTCCACAAAGAGCACTCCTGATCAAGCTTCTTTGGACTGTAGAAGGGTCAACTTGGCATTGCAATTAATCTGCCAGATGTTGAACCTCCTTCGGTCTCTCAAAATCATCGATTTTGAAAGTTTTCTAGGCCTTCCAGTTCTTTTTTTGTCCTTCACTTCTGTTGATTCTTCAAATTTCTTTCTAACAGTTTGAGAGAGCCTCGTGGGGCAGTGGTTAAACCGCTGTACTGCAGCTAAAACTGTGCTCACGACCTGGGGTTCAAATCCCAGGTAGCCGGCTCAAGGTTGACTCAGCCTTCTATCCTTCCGAGGTCATTAAATGAGTACCCAGCTCGCTGGGGGGGCAATGTGTAGCCTGCATAATTAAATTGTAAACCACCCAGAGAGTGCTTGAAGCGCTAAGGGGCGGTATATAAGCAGCACGCTTTGCTTTTTTACTTTGAATGCCAGATCTTGAATATCCAGTTTGTTTGTTGATTTCCCTTTGAGAGTGGTCTGCTGATGCCAAAGTATGATTTTATCTCTGTCAGATTCTGTGATCTTTGGCATTTTGAATGGAATGCTGTGATTGAGGTGGCCTTCTTAGCAAGCTTCCAATGAATTAAATTCATACAACATGTGTATGTTATGCTCAAGCATGTCTTGCACAAACCTGGTGCAACAGACCTTTTTTCATAGCAGTAATTTGAAATAGTAGAACAAATGGAGGTGTTAGTAATTATAGTAATTAGAGTTCCATTCCATTTATGGGAGCCAGGTGCCTGCTATTGGTCAAAGACAAAGTAGCATTAAAATACTTGCCACTTTAGCCTATAGAAGCTGTTTTTTTCTGTATGTTTTTTTTTCCTGTTTTTGAATACTACATATAAATTCCTGTATTTTCTGGCTGTATTCTAATAAAGAGATTGAGAAATAATTATATACAGTGGACCCTTGAGTTACAGATGGCTTGACTTACAGACTTTTTGAGTTACAGACTTCTCTGGCCGCAAAATTTAGGTTTGACTTGCAGACTGAGATTTGACTTACAGACCAGAAAAAAACCAAAATGGAACAAAAACGGCCTATTACAGGATTAATCGGTTTTCAATGCACTGCAGGTCAATGGAGACTTGACCTACAGACTTTTTGACTTGAGAACCGCCTTCCAATACGGATTAAGTTCTCAAGTCAAGACCCCACTGTATGATCATTATACCATTGCTAAAACATTTCTAATGATGGTCTTTTGCACAATATGTCAGATATTTCATTCACTAGTAGAATGTGATGTGTTTCATTTACAGTAGGAGCCAAAATCGAATAAATAAATAAATAAATATTTCATTCACTAGTAGAATGTAATGTGTTTCATTTACAGTAGGAGCAATGTATCCTTGATGGGATTGGTTCCGTGATCTTCTGTGGATGCCTCAAACTGTGGATACAAGGGAACCCTATATACAACATACAAGGGATGGGACAAAGGCCACAAGGGAGTGTGCCTCCATGCTGAATATAGGGCTGTGGCAAACCATGGATAAGTAAAACTACAGATTCCAACCCCATGGATATGGGAGCCCTACTGTACTAATCTAAAAAAGAGCTACCTCCAAAAAACATTTAATCAACCTCCTTTATGGTTTCTCATTCTATTCTAACTTCCTCCCCGCTTTCTTATCCACATTTGTTCCTGCCCTTCCCCCCCACAAACATAAACATGGAGGGTCATGGGATTTTCTTAATTTTATTGGAGAAACAAGGATACCATTCTATACAGTGGGGTCTCTACTTAAGAACGTCCCTACTTAAGAACAATCCAACTTAAGAACAGCTCCATTTGCTAAATTTTGTTTCTACTTGAGAACAGAAATCCAAGATAAGAACAGGGAAAAAAACCTTTCCTGCTCTTTTTTTAACCTTAGGTCTTCTTAGGTTAAAAAAAAAATTCTCCCCCTTGTGGTAAAGTACATATTAACCAGCTTTGCATTAGTTCCTATGGGAACTAATGCTTCAATGTACAAACGCACCTCTACATAACAAAAAAAAAGCCAGAACGGATTAATTGGTTTTCAGTCCATTCCTATGGGAAATTTTGCTTCAACTTAAGAACGTTTCAACTTAAGAACACCATTCCAAAACGGATTAAGTTCTTAAGTAGAGGTTCCACTGTAGTGACTTCTTAAGGCAATCTGACTCCAACAGTTGTGCCGTTTGTGTTGCACCTGCATAACTAGGAAAGAAGATTTGAGGAGTTCATAAGGTTGTGAGGTTTTTTTAAAGCTCAGTATAGTTGACAAAATATGTTTGTTTGTTTTTCTAGAACTGTTTGAGTCTCTGCTATGTATGTATGCCAGCGTGACAAAACTCTGCCTTTCATAACTCTGTAGGTCAGAACCAGGAGGAAGATCCAAATTTAGGTCAGGGGTTGGCAACTAGCAGGTTTCTAGGTGAAGTCCCAGGACTATTGTCATTGGCTTTGCTGCCTATATTTGACAGGAGCTACAGTCTAACAGCATTTTGAAGACCTCATACTCCCCAGACCCACTCTAGGCATTGCATGAGGAAGGTAAGGAAGTGGAAGTCCAAACTGTGCCTTCCCTTCCCTGGCAGGGTGAACTCTGGAGACTTTAGACCACAACTTCCATCAGCACAATTGATTCAGGCATGATGGGAGTGGAAGTCCAAAACATCTATAAAGTACCTTGTTGGGAATGCCTGCCTTATACCTTATGAGTTTCAGTATACCACCTACGTATAATGATCTGGTGATGCTTCTAGCCCCTAGGACAAGAGCTGTTGTGGAACTCCCACTACAGTGGGCAAGACACGCTGCCCTTCCCCTTTCAGAAGGAAGCAGCTTGCTCAGTGCCAGTCTCGGCACTGGGCTTCTGAGCACCACGGACCATTGAAGAAAGAGACTCGCTGAAAGTCTGGTACTCAACTTTGTAGACCCTTCAGAGGTCCTGAAGCTCTAGGAAGCTTTCCTAAGTTTACTGATTGCCTATGGTAGCCATAAACCTGCAGCCTATCCTTTCCCAAGAAGCTCTAGATTTATACTACAAAGCAAATTTATGTACGAAGTAGTAAATACATTTACTGACCAGTGCAAAAATTAGAGATGTGTGAAGGATGCTAAATATAGTCGTGCCCCGCTTAACGATTAACCTGCATTACGAATCCTCTTTACGATGATGTTTTTGCAATCGCAATTCGCTGGAGGGTGAGTTTTAAGCCTTCTAGAATGCATTAGCCGGGTTTTATTTTCGCTTTACGACGTTTTAGCTCTACAGCAATTTCGTTGGAACGAATTAAGGTTGTTAAGCGAGGCACCACTGTATACCTTATAGACAGCATGTGGAAACTCATAGTCATTTGCCCCATTTTATACACAAAACAGCCTATATACTAGAATATCCCATAATGGGAAACATACATACTAACGAAATAGCCAGTGCAAAAATTAGAGATGTGTGAAGGATGCTAAATACAGTCGTGCCCCACTTAACGATTAACCTGCATTACGAATCCTCTTTACGATGATGTTTTTGCAATCGCAATTCGCTGGAGGGTGAGTTTTAAGCCTTCTAGAATGCATTAGCCGGGTTTTATTTTCGCTTTACGACGTTTTAGCTCTACAGCAATTTCGTTGGAACGAATTAAGGTTGTTAAGCGAGGCACCACTGTATACCTTATAGACAGCATGTGGAAACTCATAGTCATTTGCCCCATTTTATACACAAAACAGCCTATATACTAGAATATCCCATAATGGGAAACATACATACTAACGAAATAGTATTGTATTGTAGTGTTTCCCAGACACAGAAAACAAGGGAAAGAGCATGAAAATAGCATGAAAACAGCAAAACCCAAACATATTTGCAAAAATCCAGCATGAAAGGTTTTTCTTCTCTGCCCCTAAAAGCTTTTTTGGCAATGTATTCACTTCCATCTGTGCTGTTCTACAAACATTGGAGTAATAACATTCCACTTGTCCACAGTGTTGTCTCTCAGAAATGTTTGCTACTTTCCCAGGTGGCTCTTATACCATCTCTTCTTCCGGAGACCTGTCTGCATGTAGCAATACTCTACCACTATATTTTTGCTTTGGAAGTTGTTCTTTAAGAAGAGTAATGGATGACTTTCCAGCCTTGATTAATGACATTGTTTCCTCTTTGATCTGCATTTTTTCCAGAATGAACTCCTGGTTTTAGAGAGAGAAAACATTTCTTAATATTGCTTCATTAAGGACAACATTATCAAGAATTTTACTGGCAATTTATATGTGCATAAGTGAAAGCATGTAGGTAGTGGAGGAGAACTGCAGATAAATAATGATGTGCCCATTACAGCACGGTGTGCCATAAGGAACACAACAGTTTATTGGTAAGTGTTGTTTGGCAATTTGCTGTTACAACTTATCCAATTTCACTTAGATGTATATAAACCACTGATAAGATTCTGGCCATAATCTATTTTGAAGGAAATACAGCATTTTTCCATGAAAGCTCACATAGATCCTGGCCATTCTGTGCCAAAGGTCCACATAAGTGATGGGCATAAATACGAATCATCTATTCGTATTCATACAAATCAATGCTCCCAATGAGTAAGGTAAAGGTAAAGGTTCCCCTTGACATTTAGTCCAGTCGTGTCCAACTCTAGGGGGCGGTGCTCATCCCCATTTCAAAGCCGTAGAGCCAGCATTTGTCCAAAGACAGTTTCCATGGTCACGTGGCCAGCGTGACTAGACACGGAACACCATTACCTTCCCACCGTGGTGGTACCTATCTACTCACATTTTTACATGCTTCGAACTGCTAGGTTGGCAGGAGCTGAGACAAGTGATAGGAGCTCACTCCACTGTGTGTATTCAATCTTACGATTGCCGGTCTTATGACCTTACAGTGCAGAAGCTTCTGCGGTTTAACCCACAGCGCCACCACATCCCAACAAGTACAAATCAACAAATTTTAACAATTTTGATTCATCAGTTTGTTGGGCTATAAAATGCTTCCCCCAGCACCTAGAGACACCAAAATCACAGAGAATCTTCCCATGACTCTCCTCTACAATATCTCTCAGTTTGGTGAATATTGGGTTTCCCCAAGCCTGCTGCTAAAGGACACTTTCATGGGGAGATACACTTTGTGGGTGTATGACTCTGACATCTGAAACCCAGAGTTCACCAAACTTGCAGGTTTGTAGAGTCAGAGGCAGCTTTTCTAAAATTTTGGTGTCTCTAGGTGCTGGGAGCGAATGTTTTATAGAGATTTAAAGGCAAAAATGAATTGATGAATCAATTCATCGATTCATCAGAAAAAAATGGAAATTCATTATTTGTAATTCATTGACCTTGACGAATCATGAATCAAAACGAATCACCAATTTTCTGTTTTGTGCTCATCTCTAGTCCATATTATTAAAAAAAAAAAGGTAGTCCAAAATATCTGAAGACTACAGCTTTAGGAAGGCTACACTAGAGCCAAGGAACTGAAAGCCACCCATCAGGGTCTCAGGAAAAGTTCACCAAGACTTGTATATACCAGCAGTCAACCAAACAACCCTAAGAACCTCACAAAAATTTGGTGAAGATATTCTTCCTTTGTATCTCCGCTAGAAATGCAATGTGTATGTACAAGAACATCCCTGTCTTAGTATTTCTAAAAACAATACTGTTCAGACTGTGTACCTTACATTGGACTAGGAAATCCATTAGAGTGTGCACAGGTGCCTCCAGAATAGCAACAACAGTGCAAGTAACAGCTAGCCTATGAAGGTAAAAAAAAATTGATGTAGCTGCTTGTGAAATAGCTCATCCATGCTTCTTGCCGAAGTGGAATGAAAGTGCTAGAACCAACACTGGCACAAGGATGAAAATTTTCAAACCATAGACACTTTTCAGTAGTAGAAACATTCTACTATGGGAAAAACTACTATTGATAAATGCTTTATTCCTCTGATCTGAAATACATCGTTGAACCCCTTATTTATTTATTTATTTATTTATTTGATTTATACCCCGCCTATCTGGTCCGCACGGATGTTGTAGTCATTCCTTAATTGCCCTGGGTCTTAGGCCCTGGTCACACTGCCCATTTGAATCAATTCCTGTTCTGATTATTTTTATATCAGTATAAAGTTAGGTGTTATATAAATTGGTAGCCATGTTCATTTTGACTGAAATTAAATCAGGTTATTTCTAGGAATTAAAACCGGCTTTGGCAGCTACACTGATGAAATCAAATACTTTCCTTTCTGTATTAGGAGCAATAAGAGAACAAATTTATTGGGTTTTTTTAAAAGTGCTAAATCTATGGCTGCATTCATATGAGTATTTATTTAAAAAGGAATGGTGCCCTATACTGTGAAGAACAAGGGGGGGGGAATCACCACAGAGGAGACCACAGCTGATAATAATGGAAAAATAAGGTTTTGTTCCCAGAAAGGAGCAAATGGAGAAGACTGCTGTAATATAAATGTATTGATGAAGTGATGCAGCAATAAACTCTCAATGCTACAAAATAAACCCCACAGTCACAGTGTACCTAAGTGATGCATCACTAAACATTTTTATAAGAAATTAAAAAAACATGGAATGTGAAAACCGGGGTGCCAATATAACAGTAACATTCACAACAACCGAACTGTTTCTAAATTAAATCAATTTAGAAACAAGGTCTTTTAAAAAGCCCCTTACGGCCAGTTGAAAATAACTCACTTTGCAGCCCAAATAAAAAGATTTCATCCACTGGAATTTATAAATTAATTTAAAAAATTTTTAAATCGATTTAACTGTGGTTCTTATTGCCAGTGGACCTACACCCTTACTCACCTGGATCATGCTCAGCTTGGACCACAGTGTCATTTCCTGCAAAGCACCATAATGCCTCATATAGCACTGCTCTGCCAAACCGGAGACTGCCAACAGCATACGGCTTAGTTCTTGGCACTAAAAAATACAACATGGATGCTTGATTGAAATCTCCTAATCTGAATCAATTGATTTGGGCCCCGTCTTCTGGAGCAACAGAGAACCAACTTGCTCCTTCAGATATTGGAGGATGGCTATCAAACCGCTTCTCAGTCTTCCTCTCTCCATGCTAAACATATCCAGCTCCATCAACCACACCTCATGAGGCTTCATTTCCAGATCTGTTACCATCTTTGTTGGCTTTGCTTAGACATGATCCAGCACTTTGTTAATATACTTACACTGTGATGCCTAGAACTGCACAGTATTGCATACGATTGCAGATGAGTTCAAAGAATAACAGAGCAGTACTGTTACTTCCACTGATCTGGGCGCTATGCTATTCCTGATGCAGCCTAGAAACGTACGTGTTTTTTGTTGTATGTGTCTAAATATTAACCTGTGGTCTGCCAAGACCCTTGGTTCCTTCTCGCATGTACTGGTGTCTAGCCAGGCATCACTCACCCTTTAGTTACACATCTGGTTTTTCTTGTGTAAATGTAGATGTTTGCATTTATTTATTATGAATCTGGCTTTTTCCCTATGCAGGGAACCAAGGCAGTTTACAAAATGACTAAATTACACCAATAACAGAAACATAATCCTGGTAGGTAAATGCAGTTAAAATGCAAGGAAACAAATAATAATGCTTGGATATCTAATATATTTGTTATATTAGACATCCAAATCTATATCTGTCACCAGGAGACATCAGTTCATCTAATATACCTAGGTGTTCCTATATCACCTCTTTCTTTATTTTGGTCTGCAGCCCCCTCTCTGTGTTGTTATTCTATTTTCACCAGGTTCAGTATTCCTTTGATAGAGCAGATCACTGCTCCTTACTCCATTTTCATTACAGCTCTGCTGGGAGGAAAATCGTAGGCCAAGAAGAGAAGCACAAGAAGACTTACCCGCTTGGTGAGGAGATCTTCTTTAGTGTTAATAAACTGCATCAAGTCTGTGTTTTTTGTTTGCAATTCATTGTACTTTGACTGAAGTTCAGAAACTTTAGCCATCACCATCTAAGTGGATTCATAAAAAGGGAAATCGGGATGGGTTATAACTTTGCAACTTGCAAAAGGAAACCTAGGTTTTGCAAGCATTATCACAACTACATATGCAGGCAAAGACTTTAGGAATGTAGTGTTCCTGCAATAAAACTAAAAACTGGCCAGCATCTTCAGAGGACAGGAGTAGTAGAGACTGGTGAAACGTTAGGAAGAACAACCTTCAGAACACGGCCAAAGAGCCCGAAAAACCCACAACAACCATTAGATCCCGGCCGTGAGAGCCTTCACGAATACATGCAGAAGTTGTTGAAGGAAATAAGCAGCACGTGCAAGACCTGCAGCAGAGGTTACAAACTGGCAAAGGGAAGGGGTGCTATTACCATATCCCCTTTCATTGTAATCTTAGTCTGGATCAGTGTGCCTGCATCTGCCATGTACAGTGGAAAGGAACGTCCTACTTTCACCATAGAAGTTTCCCACCTAACTGTATACGTAGGGAAACAATGGGAATTCTAATAAGCAGAACAAAGTACAGCAAAGATTTAAACCCCCTCCCTCCATGCCATGACTATGACCTACTTCAGACCTTACAACCTCCTTTCCATCACCAGCTGCTAGTTATTATCAATATCACATCCAGTCTGGCACGGAACAAAGGCAGTAAAATGCATGAAGATCCATCACCAGCTGCTAGTTATTATCAATAATATCACATCCAGTCTGGCACGGAACAGAGGCAGTAAAATGCATGAAGTAGCACTTGGTGGGCTTGGGGTCAGGGAAATGCCCTACCTTGATGTGGAAAGCCAAATAACCATTAGTTGAGTTACAAGCAGTCTTCCATTTCATCACATTGCTAGCCATTCAAGGTGCCCGTTGCTCTCTCTAAAAGCTCAGCAAGCCCAGCTCTACCTAACTCCCACCCTCTCCAAACCATTCAGTGCTATCTGTTTGCATGAGAGGTTCTGTCTACCAGGATTGTTCTCCCCCAACACCTCTCTTCACTTTAGGCTTATTTCATTAGTAACTTCCATATTTAACACATAAATGGCTCACTCCATTACACTTGAACAGGAATCTCATTGAACTATAGATGAGTGGTGTCCTGTGAGTGGGGAAACAGTTTTAACTTGGGACTGTGTGAATGAGTTTTACATTCCTCTTGGAATACCACTATTGTTGTTTCAATTTACATACTACCCCATAGTGCTAAAGAAACATAAGTATACAAACAACACTTTGCTTCCCAGCAAGCTGGGTTCTCATTTTATAGACCTTGGAAGGATGGAAGGCTGAGCCAACCTTGAGCTGGCTACCTGAGTCCATTGGGATTGACCTCAGACCATGAGCAGAGGCTTGACTTCAGTACTGCAGTTTAATCACTGCACCACAGGGCTCATGACATTTCCTTGATGGATTGTTCACCCCATTAGGGAAAACAAAATGGTGTGTGCCTGCCCTGCAGCTCCTATCCAAGCTGTCTGCACCCAAGTGTAGTGGAGAATGCTATTGTCAGTCTGGCTGGAAGCAGGGGGCACCTTCTTTGTGTTAGTCAACAAGATGTCTTAGTAACATCTCCTCTGAAGCCTTGAGATCTGACTATAACTGAACCTTACTGACACAAGATCTATGACATGAATCCAAATGGTAATGTCACCCGGAGCAGATGCAATCAATAAATGGAATCTGCATAACTGTAGACTTACACTCAACAATTGACTTTACTGACATTTCTTAAAACTTTTCCCTTTTCATAAAACAGGACTTGACTGTAGCCCTGTACAAGCTGGCCTAAAGCAAAAGCAGGGACATAGGTGCACATATATGCCCTGTCCCAAACATTCCAACACACCAGCATAATTCCAGACCCTTGTGCATTGAGCATGAAGGTCTTATAGCGCTATGTAATCATGACTAGCTGAACAGAGTTAAAGAGGTCCCATTATTAGAAACCCCACTGGGTCATACAAATGTGAACTAATTAGATGGGCTTAGATAAAGATTCATAAAAGTGCTGAAATAACATTACGTATTGGGCAGTGTTGTATTCTTCTTGTAAGACCCGAAATTCATGTAGGGTTTCCTGAAGGCTATATTGCTGAACAGACAATTTCCTTAGCAAACGTTCCTTTTCCGTCACCAGAGTCCTGTGCCTTTTTATAAGGGTTTTAATCAGAGAGTCTTCTCCATATGCCAGATAGCCTACAGTGGGGAAAACAAAGAACACATTACGCATGAAAGACACGTATCAGGTTGCTGTCATTATTGGCATCATTATGTATTCAGCCTTCCCACCATAGAGTTGTCAGCAGCATATATTTTCCTTACCCCTCAAAGAAGAGAGAGAACAAAAAACAACCTTACTGCGAAGAAGGTCAGACTGAATGAAAGAGGTTGAATGATCCAAGACCACTCAGTAAGTTTCACAGTACAATAAGGTCTGGAACCTAGTTCTCCCAAGTCCTCCTGAAACATCCCAAACACAATGCCACATTGGTTCAGGTTATGTCAGCCAAGATTCAAATATTGGATCTCCATTGGGTATGTTCCAGTTGTTTCAATATAATTCACTCGGATTCATATGAGGCCTAACGTTAGTTAGAGTTTCCTGCCTGTCAAGTGTGATTAAGGGGAGAAAATGTCATATAAGGCAATTATGGGAACCACTTGCTTTTTAAAAGTAACTTTCCGAGATATGTTCAAGTGTGCATGGGACAAAGTCAGCTTGACCAGTGAATATAGTCCAGCATTCATCTCAAGTGGCAGACACTGGAACATCGGAGCAAAGTGTTGGAGAAGAGATCTCTGTGTTTCGCCTGAGCTAGCGTGCTGTCTTCAGTTATTCCGTGGGATTCTCTCCCATCTTTAGTACTGAGGAAGATTCATCCAGCAGTTCAGCTTGCTTTCGTACATGGCATAAGATGGAGTACCATCTTATTATTCTTGGCCTCAGATACCAAAACAGAAGGGGCTAGTTTTCTCTTCAACCTTTGGACCTAGAAATCCTAGATGCATGGGGTGTATCCACACAAATTGGAGCTGAGCTAACGGTTTCTCCTCCCAGGAATCATTTTCTGCATGTAAATCAAGGGCGGATTCTTACATGATTCTGGCTGCCCCCAGGAAGCCATGAGAAATGTTTCCTAGTGGTGTTAGTTTCTACGCATATGATCTAGAAATGCATAAGGAATTCTCTGTGAATTCATATGTGAACCTCCTGGAATAATAACAGAATTATCTTTTGAGCTTTTCATTGCCTCACATTTTGAAATACATTTGTGGGATGCACAAAAATGTACACAAAACTGGAAACTTTGCCATCAGCACTGAGAAGAAACAGAATGAGAAGTCCAGTGACAAGCTGCAAGAAGGAAGCGTTCTTATTAACCATGCCCAAATAAGATTTAGTTATTAATGTATTAGGCCAGATAATTTATTTTTCTTTGAATACTAGTTTCATTTTATGCCTATTTTATGTTGTGCGAGGCACCACTGTATACACAAAACTGGAAAACTTTGCCATCAGCACTGAGAAGAAACAGAATGAGAAGTCCAGTGACAAGCTGCAAGATGGAAGCATTCTTATTAATCATGCCCAAATAAGATTTAGTTATTAATATGTTACGCCAGATAATTTATTTTTCTTTGAATACTAGTTTCATTTTATGCCCATTTTATTATTCAGCTTTATTTATACTAAATGGGTGTGAAAACCTGTTTAATGATAGTTTTGTAGGACATCATCAAACAATTAATGCAAAAGGAAATTCAGTAAATGTTTAATAATGGCACTCACCATATTCAGTGGAGGGCAATGCATCAAATATTTTTTGCAAGAACTCTTCAAACCTTTTGTACTTCCCAATCTTTTTCTGTAGTTCTTCTTGCCTAAAAAATGTACAGGTATTTAGAACACCCCAGACATTCAGTTTATCAATACCTTTATCAGCTATTTGTTAGCAACAGGATGACCATCCCTTGCTTTACACAAGGTTTGAAGGCATCCTCTCTGTCCAGTCCAGCGGCCTTCAGGTTGCAACTAATTGGTACCTGAAGCCCACCAAGCGAGCACACAAGCCACCTCATAACAATCTACATTGCTATCCATTTCGTTTCTATTTAAATTATAGCCGTTTCCATTTATACACACCTAACATGAGATGAATCAACTCAATAAAAGTATGATGTAATTTGAGTAGTTTCTAAGACTTGTGGCACACTATTAAACTGAAGTACTGCAGTCAAGACTCTGCTCATGACCTGAGTTCAATCCCGACAGGTTCAGATAGCCAGCTCAGGATAGACTCAGACGTCCATTCTTCTGAGGTTCATAAACTGAGTGCCCAGCTTGCTGGGGGAGCGCAATGCATAGTTTGCACTCTGGTAGTATCTGAAGGAGGTTGGACAAGGAGGCCTGGGCACTGCCTCAAAGTGGGCACCTGCTGAAGGAGGAGGGGCCGGCAACTCCTAAACACCTGTTCATCCAAAGGATGAACCTGCATGAACCACTGAATCTGTGGTTCATGCCCATCTCTATATAGGACCTTTTAGAGGCCATGAATTCATAGAGATGCCATTTATTAGACATGACCTGATAGCACATAACAAGCCACAACAATGGAACATGCCTTCTGTCCTCCTCTTTTCATGATGCTTTGCTTCTTTTTTCATGTATAAATGGCCTCCCTGGATTCCAGAAATGGGTATTGATTTACTTAATTGCCCATTCAATATGTTTTTTCACATATATAGAGAACCACAGACTCAAGCAGGTTGAATTATATGTGCAAAACCACTCTAGCAGTCCAATCCCATTGCTGAATGCAACCCCAAAACCAAGCCAGGAAACTCTCCAGAGCAGATTTTCAGGCAACATTGAGGGCTGCATAGAGAGGAGGAAAGTATGTATCCTTATGCTAGTGTGACGTTAGATTTTGGCCACAGAAAGTTATTTTATGCACATTTTTCTCAGTACTGTTCCCCAAATCCCTCAACCAGCATAACCACTGGTTTTATATTAAATTGAACGGTTTGCTCACCTAGCCTTATATGGTCTATTCTGACTGATAGCAGTTCTTCTGGCTGTCAGGTAGATGTATTTTCCGGCCCTGGCCCAAATCTGATAATCATCTTTGAAAGTCAAATGTATGCAGAGATGGCTCACCATTAGTCTCGCACCAGTTCTTCTTAGGGGCGTGGCTGTGGGCGACTGACCAACACAGTCTTCAGAATTCAACAGGTCAAGAGGACTCATATGGTGACCTTATTCCCCTACAAAAGTGTCCCGAAGCTCCAAAGGATTAGGGTGGTAGGGATGGTGGATTCATTGTAAAGGACAAAGGTGGATAGGCTGGATAGTGTGCTTTAAACGTTGTATGTAATATTTTACACACACAGCATTTTGTACTGCTCTGACATCATTCCACCTGAAATATAATTTGATGCCCTCAACCTGCTGCAGTCAGAGACTTCCTGGTTAAGAACATGAGATGTCTGCACTTCTTGAGGAAGAAGAAGGGCAACTTGTGGCTGATGGTCTCACCCTGTTGACTGGGGCTGATGGGATTGGGAGTCAAACAACATCGGAAGGGTCATAGGTTCCCAACACCTGTTGAAGAATAATGTGCCCAAACACATATGGTTAATCTCATAAGCAAAAGCCACATACCTAAATTTGAGTTTTTGAATCTTCTTTTTCAGCTGAACTATCTCTTGCCTCTTTGCTGCATTGTTTTTTTGTTCCCTCCTGTACTTCTCAAGAGCACGATGCTTCTTCTGTTCACACTCTTTCAGATATAAGTCACATGCAAAACCTTGAGTCCAGCTCTGGTGAAGGAAGGAGAGAGAAAGCTTATTGAATCTGGCATCCTTTTATATAAATGGGGCCCTCCCATGACTTTATTGTAAAAAGGCAGGAGGGAGGGAGGGAAGGGAGGAAGGGAGGAAGGGGAGGAAAGTTAAGTGGAGAGTTAAAGGAGACAATTCACCATACCATCCTATAAGGAAATAAAACTTTTTTAAAAATTGGATGAGAGGCTAATTTGTTATTATTTGATTTATATGCTGCCCCATAGTGCTAGAGCACTCTCTGGCCAATTTTACAACATAATTATAAACCAGACCACTTTAGATTTAGATTGCATACCTATGTAAATAAATAATTCAGGTGCATGGTCTGTGCTGATTGACTACTGTGAGTGATTTACAATTATAGAGTGATTGGTAGAGCGGTATATTTGCATATACTGTAGATGGGGATTGGATGAGAAAAAGAAAAGAGGAGGTACAATTCAGAATGCTTTGGCCTGAGTGAGGATAAAAGAGGGTGACCGGGGTTAGGGTTTTGAGAGGTCAGTTAGGAAAACAGAGACTGTGTATGATGAAGGACAGAAGGATGCTCAAAGGTTCACAAGAGATCTGTAGTTCATTATTATTAATCTACTATAACATATAACCAAGTGTTTTATATGTTGGAAAGTGGTGAGATGTCAGTTATAATTTATGTAAACTCTGAAACTGTAAATAATAAAATGTCTGTTTCATTTTCTAAATCATGCCTACTGTGTGAGCACTACCATAAGAAATATAAGAGCAGAACCTAATAATCAAAGGTACCACAACCATCCTTTTTATGTACTGGTGATGTTGACGTTCAAGAATAACTGTGAGGAGGAAGCCAGAAGCTTAATTTTCTTAAATTAACTTGGCTTCCTTGTTAAATCTAGACTGGGAAAACTCTAGTTTAAAAGTTTAAACTATTTTCCTCACAAACAAGCCTGGCTTTTTAAACAGAGAAACTTTGTTCAGGCATTCAGGATGAAAGTGCGCAAGGGCAAATGGTAGTAGTGATAAGGATAATAAGGTGTGCATGTGCACAGGCACACATGTGCGTGCGCACACACACAGAGAGACACAGACACAGACACACACACACACAAAGAGTTGCCTGATTCCAGGCAGAGTGGGGTCTGGATGGAGCCTATTTGCATACATCCTTCCCCACCATTATGAGTCTGACAGACTTGTCCTTTTCCATAGCACTAGAGGCTGGGTAGCTCAGTAGTTTAGGTTGAGAGTTTCAGTTCCCACAACAACCAGCCTGTGTGGCCTTGAGCAAGTAGCACAGTCCCAGGGTTCCCCCCCCCCCGAAGAAGGGAATGGTAAATGTAATGATAAAGTTTGTTTCACTACCTTGTAAGCTGTAGGCTATAAGGTTTTACATTCTCAGCTCTTTATGCAAAGGTAAAAGAAAACACTTAGAATGGAACTGGGCCTCTTTGAAGCTTTGTCTGAGCAGACACTCTTTCCTGTTAAGATAAGGTACCATGTGAATGAACTTTTGACCTGGGTACACAGGAAAACGCCTAGAGAACGCAGGCTGAATAGATAGCTACAGGGAACACCTACAAGTTCCGTATCTTCTCTGACCGTTTTTTAGGCCATGTGTCTTCTTGATATGTTTCTAATTTGGATGTTATCAATTCTCCTGACTGGACAGAACTTTTTCTGATGAAAGCTGAGGCAGGCAGGATGTGATAAGATAAAAAAGGACTTGTGAACCAAATTGTAGCTGTTTGTTTGTTTGTTTTACTTGTTCTGGTCCTCTGTTAACTTGCTTTTCTGTTTGAAGAAATTTATTGACTACCTTGCATTTTGCATCCATCTTTCTGATCCCACTTGGGCCACAGGCCATGATGGTTGGTCAAAATCCACAATGGTAAACCATTTCTGAGTATTCTCTACCTGGAAAACCCTGAAAAGGGTCACTATAAGTCAAAATTGTCTTGAGGGCACATGGTTTATAGAATATTGTTTAGCACTGTGTGCAAAATTACATTACATGCACACCACACACAAAAACAAGAAACAGGGCCTTCTCGCCTCTGGAACAATATGCCTCTGGAGATTCGTGCGGCCCCTTCACTGGGTATCTTTAAAAACCAATTACAAACATGGATGTTCACGCAGGCCTTCCCTCCAGTTAATATCTGACTTCCTTTTCTTTGTTCACTTTTTTACTTTTTATTTT